TATATATATATGATGTTAAAAAATAGGTGAGGGAAGAACTGGGGAAATGGCTGTTTGTACAAGTGATTGTCTTCTACAGGTGGCCGTTACAGCAGGCTCGACCGTATTCCTCTCCGACGTTGAAGGGGAGTACAAATCCGTTCTTTCCACACTGTGAATTTCTTTAAGACTTTGGATGATTCGTGTTCTAGTGGTCAGGCTGTTGGGCTGGCAACCAAAAGGTCATAGGTTCGAACCATGCCAGGGCGTGACATTGAGTCCTTGGGAAAGGCACTCTACACAAAGTGTCCTCACTTTATCCCAATGGGAATGAATACCCAGCAATAGACAGCGAAAGATCTTGTCAGTTTGCTTTTGTTTGAGCGTTTAATCGGCTGCTTAGGCTGAGTGCTTCCCGTGAGGCCGAGAATGTTTCTGATTGTTCTAGGGTCTGCTGGGGGAAATAACACAGTGTGGGTTGTAAAGCTCACAAAGAATGCTGTAGAGCATAAATAATAATAATACGCGCTTCATAAATACTTTTTCAAATAGTTTATACTATATAGTAATATTTATTCAACGTTCATTTCCTATAGCACAAACCAAGGTCGGATGAAATCCCCAACCAACTCAAGTTCGAGACTAAAGCCTGTCATGGTACCAACGGACCTAACGGACCTAACACTATCTTCTGTCTCTCTCCCCTCCCCCTCCTTCCCGCATCCCCCTTCCCTTAACCCACCCATCTTTATTCTGGGACGTTATTATGACTAGAATCCTAACAACGCAAAGTAGCTGGATTACGACATCAAGTAAGACTACATAAACAAATATTCTTTTCTTTGGCAAGAGAATAAAACAACGCATGATATACATAATGAAAGTGTTTTCAACACAATGTAGTATGCTACGGTTACCTGTTCCGTGGTGCTTCTCTGATATGAAGAATATCAGTACGGGCCGGCAGTCTTTATGCTGTGAGGCAGAGGGTGATAAGAACATTCTAAATAAGAAAAATAAGAATATACAAAAACAAAACAAGACCCCCCCTAAAAAAAACTACCCGAAGGCAAAAATAAAACCAAGAAGTACCCAGAGTGTGTCTAACAGGTGCTAAATTTCTCATGTCTTTGTACAAATTATTTGACTGCCGAAAAAACACCACACCCACTTCATTCCATCGGTCTGTCTGTTTGTCTTCCTGTCTCTCTGTCTTCCTATCTGCCTGTCTGACTGTCTGTCTGTCTGTCTGTTCTCTCTCTCTCTCTTTCTCTCTCTCTCTCTCTCTCTCTCTCTCTCTCTCTCTCTCTCTCTCTCTCTCTCTCTCTCACCCGCCCCCTGTCTTCTGATTAATTCTTTGCCTATTTCCCTTTCTCTCCCTTCCTCCGTTTTCCCTTTCTCTCAAACCTCCCCCTCCTCCAACCTTGGTAACTAACACACACACACACACACACACACACACACACACACACACACACACACACACACACACACACACACACACATACACACACAAACAAACATACACGCACGTACACACCCACACACAAACACACATACACACACACCTACACACAAATAAACAAAGAAACACACACACACACTCAAACAAACGCACATACATACATTCACACGCACGCATGCACGCGCGCGCGCACAGACACACACACACACACACACACACACACACATACACACAAACACACAAAAACGCACACACACACGCGCACATGCACACACACACACACACACACACACACACACACACACACACACACACACACACATACACACACACAAGTACACGCAAGCACAAAAAGCGTCCTCAATAAATCTTCTATCAGAAACAATAACTGTCCACGGAAACTGCGGTTCATAATATCTACTAATAAATCACAGGCCAAAATTCCTCGCAGACGTCAAGAAAACGTGTATCTTTCTTTGTTCAGAGCTCCAGGTGTTATTTCACATGCCTATTTCGTTTTACAGAAAATCTAGTTGGATCAAATGGACAAATGGAAAAAAAAAAACATTTGAAAGAAGAGTGTTGAAAGAATTTGATAGCGAGTAGTTGACGGGTTCTCTGGTGTGGTCTACTAATTCTTTTACGTCTAACATCTACAGGTCTTACCTCTCTTCCTCCTTGCTTGTGTTTTTATTACTCTCCGGCAACGCCTCTAATCGTAGCCACCTATTTGACCCTAATGTGTTGCAAGTGCCGTAAAATGCTTACTAAAACAAAAACAAAACAGAACGTGATGATACACTACGTGGTACGCTTTCTGAGAGCTATAAAAGAAGACTCAAGTACCTTGGTCACACGGACTGAAATATAAAAGTAGATCTATTTACGAGCCTTGCAGAAGGACACATAAATAGAGACAAAGAGAAATACGGGATGACACCCTCTACATCATAATATTGTGTAGCATGTTGAGGACATCAGACGCTCGTCGAAATAATGAAATAGATGAAAGTGATACATTATAATTCCTCTTTCCGCCTCTTTGGCAGTTTTAATCGATTTCATTTTCTGTTCTTTTTTTTTTCTTGGCTAAGTACTTTTTATTGCAATGAACTCCCCCCCCCCCCTTGCAATCTGTGTGTGAACTTTTTGAAAAAAAAAACCATGTTGCTCAATAAGGCACAAAGCAAGCAAATGTACAGTTTCCAAGGACTCTCCAGCTTACGAAGTCACCAAACTCTCGAGCTAAATTTTCCTCTGACACCAGGCCATTCCCACCTCCTTCAATCGTAAATATGTCAAGTTCTATTCAAGATAAACGCGAACGTTTTAATCAAAAGCAATATTATACAACTGGACAAACTTTAAGATGATATCAATAACTCCGTACGCCCCAAAACTGCCGATTGCTTGATTCCACCCCCTCGTAACACATACAATTATCATTGGCCGCTCGTGTAACCCTATGCAGTTGTCAGCGCCGTAAAACTATGATCAAATCAAACCAAAAAATTATATTGATAATAAATATATATTATATCCGACAGAACTAGAAACCAAATAGACTTCTTACTCATTCATAAACGTTCTAGAAACGTAATAAAGTAATCTATTCTGGAAATTTGGGAAGAAAAGAAATCGAAAGAGGTAGATCTAGTACTTTAGGAAGCCCAAGTGGGCCGCTCGTTGGTAAAAACAATCAGGAAAAGAATTACAAACTTACAGTTTCTGTGGCACGTGAATAGAAACAAGACTTTAAACATCTAGCTCTCACTGGCAAAATTGAAGGCAAAGGACGAAGACGTAGACCCAGAGAAACCTAGGAAAGAGCAGGATAATGCAGATTTTTCGGAAAGCGCCCGAGAGAAAAATGAATAGAGAACCATGGTCTCCAATGTCTTATTTTATGAAACATTTTTATTATTTTTGTATGTCGGTTGTTACACTCAATCTTTTCATTTTTCTGTAAGCATTTTTTGTGTTTTAAAATTCTACGTGTCCAAATTCACGAGCATTGTGTTACTGAATGAACTCTATCCAAGTTTGTACGTGTCCTGAGAAGCTGAAATCAGCCGTATTTTTTTTATCCCCGTCAATATTTCAGTAACTAGATATGTCGTCGCTGTACTCTCAGCTTTAGTTAGAATCTATTCCTTTTTTCTGTATGCCTAGTTGTAACAAACAACACATGTTTGCTCTCACAACCTACACGTGCTTCTTTAAAAGCACATTTGTATAACCTAAACTCAATTTAAGAGTTTTTAGTCTTGAGAAGTTTGAATCAGTCTTAATTTATATTGTCATAAATATTTTAGTACCTTGATATGTCGGTCGTTACACTCCCAGTTTTAGTTATATTCACTTTTCTACATGTCTAGGTGTAAAAACCAAAATTTTAATACATTTCCATTTATAACCTACTCTACCCGCTGAGGAATCGAACCCGAGTCTCTTGTGTGCCACAGCGAAACTCCTAACCGCTACCCTACAGACCCAGTGGGATTGTATAATATTGTTTTGAGAACACAAACAGGTGAAGAAGGACTTAGGCCTTCCCCACAGTATAATAATAAATAACCTTTCATGGTAAGAGGGTCATAAAATGCGTCGTGTCTTAGAACATTGTAGTACGCACAACTCAGTATAACATCATAATGCTGCCTTTGGAATTGAAAAACAAAGTACGTTTTGTCGAAAAATTGATTGATAGACTTTGGCACAGAGGTTTCTTCTAAGAAGTACGGATGTTTAGCGTGTAGCGGGATAACTTGGAGGTCAGTTTTATAAATTCGAACCTAATTTCTATTTCATCGCAGCAGAGTTTGTATCGGATATTCGAAAACGTTTATTTGACCGAGTTTTTCATTTACTAGGTTCTTCATTTAAACAGTGGTGTAAGATACGAGTCGATCATAATCGTAAAGTTAATGTACGTTATCTTTAGAGAGTTTGTCCTGTATTTATTGTTGTGGGTCAGCTCAGGCGAGAAAGTCTGCTGGGTAGAGAGGGAATGCCATATTTATTATAAGGAATGGGGCAATAACAAAAGCATAAAGAGGGGGAGGGGCACAGAGAGAAAGAGAGAGAATGAACAAGGAGAGAGAAGAGAGAGAGAGAGAGAGAGAGAGAGAGAGAGAGAGAGAGAGAGAGAGAGAAATAATATATAAATAAAGAGCAGTCTTAGCTGTCACACATCAAGCCATGATAATAATAGAATAATACACTTATTCTTCTAAGGACCTTTATTCTCCTTGAAACTTGACGACCGTTTATTATACACTTTATCATACCTCAAGATTATCTCGATACGAAATAAACCATCTATAATATGATCACATAGATATATTTTACACACACAAAGTGGCGTGGGTAGCCTAGTGGTTAGGCTTCCGGACTTGTAATCGTGAGATTGCGGGTTCTGTGTTCGAGCCTCAGCTCGGTCCGACGTTGTGTCCTTGGGAAAGGCACTTTACACGAATTTCCTGCTTGGCTCGGTCCTTTCGGAGATGGATCTTAAACTCGGAGATTCCGCCTATTAAATAACCTAAAAGTGTTGATAGGGGCGTTAACCCGATACCATTTCACCATTTTCACACACACAAAATTATATATATACAGTCCAACCTGCTCTAACGATTTTTTGCTTAAAACAATCACCTGCACAATCGACTGCTTCCCACTTCCCATTGCCCAAAGGACAACCTGTCTAAGATAAATACTCTTCTTCTTGGTGACCGGTGGTTGTCTTGTGTAGGTTCGAATGTGTAATATCACCATCATCCGGAACCTTGCCAACTGGTGTGGGCGATCATGGACCTCCACGTCTATCTGTCTTGTGTTGCAGCAATGGTGCTTGTTGCTCTTGCTACTCCCAGACATGTTGTCAACTTGTCCAGTATCTTTTCCCTCTATCTTCCTCTGCTTCTCTTTCCATCAAACCTGCCTGTTGTTACAATATTCTCCAATGCTTCTTTCCGCATTGTGTGTCCAATGAAATTTGCCTGTCGCTTTCGTATATTCGTCATAAGCTGTCGTCTGCAATTTGCTTCAACCAAGACTTCTTCGTTTGTTTTTCTAGATGTCCATGGGCTACGCAGCATGCGTCTCATGAACCACACCTCTGTCGCCTCAGTTGTTCTTTCCAGCTGTCTATTGATTGTCCATGCTTCGCACTGTATAATAGGATTGGCTCGATGTAATTGTTCAGTACTCTCTTACTCGTTTCCAGTGACAGATTGATGCTTGTGAGTATCTGCTTCATTTTGTGGAAGGTTCCTTTTGCTTGACAAATGCGGCTTTTAAACTCTGTGTGACATCTCCCATCTGATGATTTAATGGTCCCCATATTATTTAAAACTAGCTGGGCCCCATTTCGATGAAAGGAATGCTCAGTGCATTAACATCACCTGGAAGTTATTGGCCTACTATATGAATCAATGTAACCTAAACTTGTGCACAGTAGTTTGTATCAATTTATCTTAATGCAGATCTATTCATATGTTGCCACAACAATTGAGGCTAGATTTAAAAATGCATCTTCATGAATTTATCTGTCCCTGTCGTTTTATGCGAGAAAAATTCTGAAATTAAGCAAACTGAGGCCAAAAAATGTGAAATTATGCGATTCTGTTAATTTTAACAAAGAATGATAAAGGAAAATAATCTGAAATTATGCAAAAAAGATCAAAGTTTGTTAAATTATGCGAGGTGCATAAAACCACGAGGACAGATTTATGGGGCCAACTGGTCACCCCGCAGCGCATATCGTAGTAAAACCACTGCGTGTGTTGTGTGAATTCATGACTACACGGAGCATCCCGCCCCATCACTGACCCTTTTTTTTTGGGTAAATGTTTTACGGCGCTCGCAACTGCATAAGGTCATATATATGCGCGCGGGACGCAGCTACTATTTTGAGTTGGTAGGAAGTTTTGAATTTTGCCCGGTTGGCGGCCGAAGCCGACTCTTATCGATTTTAGACCACCAAGGCGCAAATTGCCCACGGGACCTCCGAGATTTTTCGCCCTTGTCCGAGAAGGCTAGGTGTAGATCTTTCCTACCTGAAGATCATAGATGTGGCTGAAAGACAGCAGTAAGGAGGAGTCAAGGGGTAGCAGGAGAAAGAATGCAGAAAGATCAGGAGCCCAGAGGAAGGGGCAATGGAGATGAGGGGGTGGCGGCAGAAAGAGGAGACAAAAGCAGACGACAGCAGCAGCTGCACATTGCTTGAGAGCAGGAAAGGAGGTGGAAGGAGACAATTTTAGAGAAGAAAATATTTCAGTCGCTATCCGGATTCGAACCCGAGACCTTTGAATGAGCAGCTGCATAACAAAGAAAGTTTTGGATTGGAGGTAAGAGATCAAGGGGAAGACCTCGTGGAACCTGGAGAAGAATCACAGAAATCGATGTACAGAAAAGTGGGAAGACATGGAATAACGCCAAGAGGCTAGCCCAGGATAGAGAAAGGTGGAAAGTGTTTGTCCTTGGCCTATACCCTGGTGCAGGGTGACAAAGGCAATGATGATGATAACCTTTGAATGAGAGGCTAACATCTTAACCTCTAGGCCACGAGAACCCCGTCACTGACCTCGATTCTCCGTCAAAGCACAAAGGACAAAGGAGGATTGCTGCACCCTCTTGGTATTTACGGCCTGCTTTTGATTGATTGATTGGGTAGATGTTTTACGGCACTATCGACACAATTTTGGTCATTTAAGCGCCATCAGGTTTCACCGCTACAAAATC